TACTGTCATTACATCTGATACATGTCTGGTTCTTAATCAATCATTAATCACATACTCCATCAAAACTCTGGCACTTTCTCCACACGTGAGTAATGTGTATTTTCAGGATACAATAAACACCATGCATATAGATTAGGTCAAACTAAAATAACCATTAGGTCAAACTAAATAGCTTTATTTCACATACAATAAAAACACGTACAAACACCTGGTTTAAGGCCACGAGGTCTTCAAAATAAGAATAAAATCATAACAAACATCCCAAGTCTGATAAACATTATAGAATTGCAAAATAATTATTATACTCAACAAATCTAAACATCTAGATTGTTTAGGAAATTGTACAATAGGAATTTTTTAATAGAATTTTAAAGAAGTCTTTGGTTTTCTAAAGGATCTTTCCGTAGTGGTGAAGCACTTAATATTTATTTTTGAGTTTTATTTTCAACTTATGCTTGTCTTTGTGTGCATTATCCATAAGTTATCCTGTTTCCAGTTTATCTTATATCACTGATGCTGGCAAAATGCCTCCCACTTTTGTTTCTGTTTCCTTTTTATATTGAAAACTGGCTCATATTTCATTACTTATAATTTTCTTTTATTTCATACACATAATCACTTACATAAGCACAGATTCTGGTTTTGACCATATCTCTGTTCTAGTGTGAAACGATAAGAACAATGACTTAATGACCATAATAAAATAGGATGAGAAACTATTACAATTCAGCCATCTGGTGGTAAAACATCTGAGTTAGCAGCATATGCACTTTTTACACTCTGATATTTCTTACACTACAACATAGGTACTAAACTACGACAGTAAGTTTACGGACGGACTTACAAATCTGGGGTTGGTTTCCCCGCAGTAAACACAGCAGATAGCCCAATGTGGTTTTGCTCTAACACAAAAAACAACCAAATTTAGATCAACTAGTTCTCTAAATGTTTGACATCAAAGTATATACTTTACTAGGATAAGTTTTACAATACAGCTTGGACAGCCTCATTATGGTTTGGTGTGTGAGTTGATAAGCATTCTTATAATGACTGTTAATCATGACAGCTCTGCAACATTTCTCATTACCAGAGCTATAGCCTGCTCACTACCATCACACATATAAAAAAAGTATATATGATGACCATTAGTCGGATGGAATACCCTTGATACATGCATATATATATATAACATTTCAATTTCCATGACACGACATACGTTATCCTTAGTTAGTTGCATGACCTATTTTTATAATAATTGATTGTCACGTGATATTAAGGAATATCGTGCTTTAGCTTCAATTTCTAATTTTGACTCGTGTCGTGCAGACCAATTTTAGCTATTATTTCACAACTTACTTGGTTGATTTCAAATGCAACCTTTATAAATCTACCACATTCGTTTATTTTCACGTAATCTAATATAAGTTAAAAACATGTATTTCTTTTATATGCTTGAATCGAAGTCTAACCACGTTGTTTAATACGTTTTCAAAGTTGAGTCATTGTTTATATATCCATCATTTATTCATTCTTTAACTTGGATTATTTAGACTGTCTGTCTCCTACATAGGAAACTTTGTTAAAGATGTGAATAATGTTAAAGGTCCTAATTACGTTTGTTGCCTCTATTTTGTGTTTTAGAGTAACTTTACTAATATCATCGCCTTCTTTACAGATTCAATCTACACTTAGCTGAGGTCTAGTTTTTTTCTTAAGTTAATACAATTTTTCAAAAGATTTAAATCTATTTTACTGACACACTATGTATTTATATATAATGATACTGTATAGACTACGTCTGATAATCGTGAAGATTTTTTTTATCGACTACACTTGAAATCATTAAATCATGATTGGTTGGTATCATGCTCTAGAACCATTTTGCTTTTCTCTGTTCCGTGGGAACAAGCTCGTGAAACATTATTCATACAGGAAAGTACTCCCTGTATAAATTTCTTCTTGGCAATACCAAAAAGGACGACAGAAAAGCAACTACGTCAACGCAAGATAGTAATATCTAATACAGCAACTATTAATCAAACTACGGCCATAATAACTAACAGAAGTCATAGTTATTTTCAGATAACGTCAGTAAATTACAAATAAGTTAAATAGATGAACACAATATGAATAAGGGCTACTATACTCAGTGTTATATAATGAAGGGATGACTGTTACTGTGATGTCATGCAATCCGAATGCCCCAACCATTAAACTTTAAAGTTCAAAGCCTCAAAATTGTTTGGCATGAAAGGTAAGATTCTAAATTCTTTGACAGTTAAAAACACCGTTTTATTCTATTGGTTTTATTGCTGGTTAAGATAAAATAATAAATGCTAAGGATATCTACACTTTTGCCTATCTAACTATCTCTAAATATATTACTGTACTGATTATGATTGCTGGCGCTTTGGTTATCTTAGCTAGGAAACATATCATAAAAAAATAATTCATTATTTAAAGTTCTTATAAAAATATTTACGGTGGTGTTATTAATAAACTGCAAACGTTCTGACAATTAGTACATAGTCCATTAGATCATCTCATCAGTGGCACAGCGGTATGTCTACGGACTTACAACGCTAGAATCCTGACTTCGATACCCGTGGTGGGCAGAACACAGATAGCCCATTGTGTAGCATTGTTCTTAACTTCAATAAATCAATCAACTATTAGACCATTAGACTGGAGATGCAGACAAAACACAGTATAATATCAACTTACAAAACACAATAAAATATCAACTTATAAAACACAGTAAAATATTAACTTACAAAACACAATAAAATATCAACTTATAAAACACAGTAAAATATCAACTTATAAAACACAGTGAAATATCAACTAACAAAACACAGTAAAATATCAACTAACAAAACACAGTAAAATGTAAACTTACAAAACACAGTAAAATGTAAACTTACAAAACACAGTAAAATGTAAACTTACTAAACATAGTAAAATGTAAACTTACAAAACACAGTAAAATATCAACTTACAAAACACAGTAAAATGTAAACTTACTAAACATAGTAAAATGTAAACTTACAAAACACAGTAAAATATCAACTTACAAAACACAGTAAAATGTAAACTTACCTTTATTCCAAAAATATTTATAAAAGCACTAAAAGAAGTTTTTTAAATATATTAAAGTAGTAAATTCTACCTCCTCTATTTTAGCATTTGTCCCAGAAAAATTGCTTGGTTAGTCAAGTGGATCGTGGGTTCAAAAATATTGGAAACCCTGACCTACATCATAATGAGACTCGTGTCTTGTTTTATAATTTATTAATATTAGGGAAAAACCTTGTGCTCGCGTACGAAACGTTATTATTTTTTGTTTGTTTGTGGTATTTTATATTTGAATGCACAAAGTTTATAAAATGTAAAGACAGTGCTGTGTATATATAAAAAAAATAGTTAAATGACCTGCCTAGACTATATGAGATTAGGTAGGTAGAGTTTTGAACGAATCTGGTGGCCGTGTGGGGCGTCTCAATGACTGCAAGGGTAAATCTAAGTAGGATAAACCTATGACACAACACGTGGTATCCACGAAACACTTCTAGTACAAAAGACACTTTGAGCCGAATGGTCTGACCAAAAATAACAAATTGATCGACTTATCTAGTAAGAAATACCAGATCTGGCGACGCTTTCAAATCATGGGTATCGGGGACAAGTATTAAAACTCAACAGGGTGATGCTACTTGTACAATAAGCATTTATACACAAACTCGTCAATTTATACACAAAACCTTAACACATAAACAATGCTGTCTCAGTTGGGGCTGTGAGAGATAACAAGTCCATTCCCTAAATACATTTTTTTTTCTTGCAATGCATAGTACTAGCTACACTAACCCTTTCCTTATGCATATGGTGACGTCTTGCAATGCATAGTACTAGCTACATTCACCCTTCCCTTACGCATATGGTGACGTCATCCGTACTTCCTCCTACTCCTAATTTCATTTTTTGCTTAGTTTAAAGAAGTTTAAAAAGCTTCCCACGCACGCGCTATCCTTTTACTTATAAAGATATTTAGGTACTGAACCAGTTACATGTGACAACTTTTATGTGACTAAATATGCTACATATTTCCTCAAAGTGACTAAATATGGTGTACAATACCTCAAAGTGACTAAATACGGTACGTAATATCTCAAAGTGGCTAACAGGGTACATAATACTTTGCCATAACTAAAAATTGTACATGATTTCTTTTATATTATTTAATGATTTTTGTATTCCAATTGCACATGTTTTCTCTTGATTTCCAAGTAAATTTTAAATGAAATAAAATAATATTTGTTTGTTTCAGAATTTTCCTGCAAACTATACACAAAGGGTTATGTTCGCATAGCCATCTCTAATATTTTAACTGATAGACTAGAAGGAAGACAGCTAGTCAATAGCATCCACCCCCACTTGGGCTACTTTAAATAAAGGAACATCCTAAATGTTCTTGTATTTGAGTACGTTTCCGTGCTTTCAGAGCACAACAATTCAGAATAATGTTGTTGTTTTTTTTGTCAAATCTTTTATAACTGAACAAAAATCAAAGAGTGTATTGCAGCTGAGACAAATTTTATGTGTTATCGCCTTTAAACATCAAATATACAGCACATTAGTTTTAAAGTTAAACAACGTTTCAAGAAGGGACAAGAAGTAGCCACTAAACTTGTCAAACGTTACACAAACGTGAAATGGAATATCTAAGAAATAGAGGTGAATGGTTCGGTTGAGAGAGATAGCATTAGAGGCGTTCGGTAGGTTCGATCCTCGTGACGTCATTTTCTCATTACACTTCGTATCTGGTGGCAGAATGAACCAGGATTAAAGGGAGAAAAACGGGGGTAGGGGGAAATAGCTCTGCGGCTGTCTTTGTGCGCGCGCGCCGCGTTCCGCTAGCTGTTGCTCAGATACACCTTCCCGCAGTGGAGGACGATGTACTGCGTGAGTTACAAGTTTCATCGAACGAAACCATTTTTAATACCGTTTTTGTCAAAACGCCAACACCTTACGCCACTCTCTGAAGCTAGTGCCTCACCGTTTAACATCAGATAGACCGAGTGCTGAAAGTATCCCTGCTTCCTTGTGACAACGTCGTCATGACATGGCGAACGGTTCGCTGCTGAGGCCCTGAGTTTATTAGACTAGTAGAGACCGCACTGTACGGTAAGTGCTTTTATTCTCGTTGGGTGTTGTAATTGCCACGCTCACTAGACCAGCCTTGAATATAGCAATGCTACTCTCGGCTTTTTAGCCTGACATCACTGAAAACTAACCACTTAAGTGATAATTCTTTGCAAGACAGTGAACACATAAAATAATATACGTATACGCGGTAAAAGCAAAAGTTAAAGTAGCTCTAAATAAATTGTTAAAGATCTCCCTTGGCCTAATAATCCCATCTGATGCTTATAAAACAAAACCTTCTAAGGACTTAGTCGCTCACTAGAGGATTAATCCCAATATTGTTTGACCAGTTTTACCCCTATGTGCAGACATCAAAAGTAAATGCAAAAATATAATTTTGTAACCACGTTCGATGACTGAGAATGTTACTAAAAACCTGTAGATAATTTAGCGAGATAAGGCAACTATGTGGCTCCATCCAGACCATTCTGTTTTCTAGTCCTATGCTTGTTTGCCACTCGCTATGAACGAGGAAGCGATGATTTAGCATGCATGTGATGAATTCACATCATTCATGCTAAAAGTGCGGTTGTTTTTCAAGTTATCTAGTTGAGGAATACTCAATAATTGGAAAGTTACACTTGTACCTCCATTATTTACTAAAACCCCGGAATTACCTCGGGTTACTCTGAGTAGCATGTCACACATGACACATTATTCTAAGTGCCAGAAACCCTTTAAAATATATGACTGGGTCACTCCAAACTAGTTAGTTTCACGTATTAGCAGCTTTAAAAAATTAAATCAAGCATTTTTGTTTAGTGTCTTTTTCATTGAGCTCGTTTGATCACTTTTCCATCTTGTAAAACTTTGACTAACCAAAAATCTTGAGGTTTTATATTATGGAACAGTTTTTAGTTACCACTTATTGTCACACAATTAGAAGATTCCCTTATAAAGGCAACAATTAAATGTTCCACTGAGGAATGTTCCACTAGGAGGTACTGCTTCATTTAATTTCATAAACCCATACAACAGTATAAGTGATTACATGCAGTGAAGAAAATATTTAATATAAGTCATAAATGTTATTAAATCGTTCTTTTAAATGCACTCATCTGCAGATGAGTGCATTTAAACTAATTGTACTTAGCCATTTACGCAAATGTTTCTTAGCAGATGAGTGCATTTAAAGTAATATTACTTAGCAGATGAGTGCATTTAAACAAATGTTTCTTAGCAGATGAGTGTATTTAAAGTAATATTACTTAGCAGATGAGTGCATTTACACAAATGTTTCTTAGCAGATGAGTGCATTTAAACTAATTGTACTTAGCTGATGAGTGCATTTACACAAATGTTTCTTAGCAGATGAGTGTATTTAAAGTAATATTACTTATAAGTAAACTAATATTACTCAACAGATGAGTGTATTTAAACAAATATTCTTTAGCAGATGAGTGCACTCATCTGCTAAGTACAATTGGTTTAAATACACTCATCTGCTATGTAAACTTGAAAAGAAAAAAATTTGAGAAGTGGGTGAACATCAAACGTAAAGCTTGAGAAGCTTTGAGTATAGTAAATTAACAAAATGAACAGTTTTAAACATTACTGTTCAAAATGCAAAAATTCTTTATAGCTTTTGTGAACTCATTTTCCAAATTACGAAACTTTGTAAATATTTTTGCGTTGCAATTTTCATTTACATTATGATCAGAAAATTAATCAGTCTTATAGCCTTCTTGGTCGTATATGCTATTCGTTAGTATACGTTCAGATACAAAAAACAAAAACTTTTAACCACGCATTTCTTAGGAGATGTAATGCAACAAATTTCGTTTGTTGTCAGATCTTTGAAGCCATGGATAACCTGCTTGGCTTATCCTACGAATTACATTAAAAATAAATATGACATTTAATTTCTTTCAAAACAATCATACAACGTTAGAAGAAATAATATATTCAGGTTTTCAACTGCACTATTCACAGCTTTCACAGAACATATGTTGAAATCAGATTTATAAACATAACATCGTCACTGTAGCGCTTTTACATACGAATGAAGTCATAGTTCGAGACTTAAAACTTGGAAATTTATATATTTTTGTATTGTTTTCAAACCTTCGTGTGTTATAAATCAAGAAACTGTCATTGTTTGTTATTGAATGTTCCTATAAACAGTGAGTGATTATTTATTTCTTTGGATATTCTTGCTGACAAGGATAGAATCCGCATTTGTTTAACATATATGTACTAAACTTGATTATAACTGTCTTTCTCTGTGGAAAGTCTAACAGACGCCGTTACTATTTAAGTCGACCCTATGGTGGGTGAAGACATCCTGTTTTAGTCGTCTGTCTTTTCCTCCTCCGTCCGAATGATTTCTATGTTTAGGAATAAATCAATGACATTTTGGCATTTGGCTGAGTGAGCATTCGGGGTGGAATGAAGACGAAGACTATTGATTTTTATAGAGATGATGACCTTTCAAATGGATCGAAAGGTTAACACTGGGATAAGTGTACACTACAGTGAACGACACAAGGATAAGCATACATCATGGTGAACAACAGTGGAGTAACTATATAGTATGGTGAATAACACTGGAGTAAGTACACATTATGGTGAACAACAGTGGGATGGGTATACATCACGGTGAATAACTCTGGAGTAACTATATATTATGGTGAATAACACTGGAGTAATTATATATTATGGTGAATAACACTGGAGTAAGCACACATTATGGTGAACAACAGTGGGATGGGTATACATCACGGTGAATAACTCTGGAGTAACTATATATTATGGTGAATAACACTGGAGTAAGCATACATCATGGTGAAAACAGTGGGATGGGTATACATCACGGTGAATAACACTGGAGTAAGTATATATTATGGTGAATAACACTGGAGTAAGCATACATCATGGTGAACAACAGTGGGATGGGTATACATCATGGTGAATAACACTGGAGTAAGCACACATTATGGTGAATAACACTGGAGTAATTATATATTATGGTGAATAACACTGGAGTAACTATATATTATAGTGAGTAACACTGGAGTAATTATATATTATGGTGAATAACACTGGAGTAACTATATATTATAGTGAGTAACACTGGAGTAATT